CGCCTCGCGCGACGCGTCGACGCGTCGCCTGTCCCGCTCGTTCCCCGGCGGCTGCACCTCCCCGGGGGTGTTTTTGCTCTCCTGCAGTAGATAGAAGTTGATGTATATTACCAAAATGCGTGTAACTATGGATAATGTACTCAAAAAGTCGCTCTATGTAGTCCGTTTAGCCCCCAAGAGCCGGGGAGGCCTGCTGCAAGCGGAAAAGCACTCATATTTACCGCATAAGTGCTCGAAAGCGCGGCATAAGCAGCATAAGCGTTTATTTCGGTGGATTTACGCCGATTTACAGGATTTACGGCCACGTGATGCCTGGATTTACGGGCACGTCACGCCCTCCGTACAATCACATCAAGGCGCCGCCGCTTCGCGCCGCGTTCCCGAGCGCTTCTCCCCATCAAACCCCGAGAGCTTTGGCGCCCTTGTCGGGATACTCATTTCGGGACCCCAGGACGCGTGGCGTGTAATTAGAACGCGTCTGACGCATCGAGGACCTATATGCTCCTCGTCATATAGCATTATTTCTCGTATTTAGAGCCTTTGTGTCTAGTAAGAATGATACGTACAGTATATCTCTTGTATTTATCATGAATCTGACACCACTCGGGACCTTTCAATGCGGTGGGACTTAGAATTTTCGCGCTGTACCTGCTAGCTTGGGCCATCAGCCACCATTGACCCCGGGTCATGGCAGGGTCGATTTACGTGGATTTACAGTACCTCACGTAAACTAAGCCAAATAACTGTACTTATTCCGCTGGCTTTACGCGTTTCCTGCCTTATTAGGCAGGTGGGGCTCGGCGGTTCCCGGGTATTCCCACGCCTCGCGCGACGCGTCGACGCGTCGCCTGTCCCGCTCGTTCCCCGGCGGCTGCACCTCCCCGGGGGTGTTTTTGCTCTCCTGCAGTAGATAGAAGTTGATGTATATTACCAAAATGCGTGTAACTATGGATAATGTACTCAAAAAGTCGCTCTATGTAGTCCGTTTAGCCCCCAAGAGCCGGGGAGGCCTGCTGCAAGCGGAAAAGCACTCATATTTACCGCATAAGTGCTCGAAAGCGCGGCATAAGCAGCATAAGCGTTTATTTCGGTGGATTTACGCCGATTTACAGGATTTACGGCCACGTGATGCCTGGATTTACGGGCACGTCACGCCCTCCGTACAATCACATCAAGGCGCCGCCGCTTCGCGCCGCGTTCCCGAGCGCTTCTCCCCATCAAACCCCGAGAGCTTTGGCGCCCTTGTCGGGATACTCATTTCGGGACCCCAGGACGCGTGGCGTGTAATTAGAACGCGTCTGACGCATCGAGGACCTATATGCTCCTCGTCATATAGCATTATTTCTCGTATTTAGAGCCTTTGTGTCTAGTAAGAATGATACGTACAGTATATCTCTTGTATTTATCATGAATCTGACACCACTCGGGACCTTTCAATGCGGTGGGACTTAGAATTTTCGCGCTGTACCTGCTAGCTTGGGCCATCAGCCACCATTGACCCCGGGTCATGGCAGGGTCGATTTACGTGGATTTACAGTACCTCACGTAAACTAAGCCAAATAACTG